CAAAACACACCTTTAGCATTTGAATTAACATTGATATCATTAATAACAAGCTGACGGAGTGATGAACAGTCATTCTGTACTCTCAAATATCTTGTACACTCATGTTATTTCTGCAGTTATTTACTGGATTATAAGCTGCTAGCTAATGCTATGCTAGCTTGGCATAACTACAGCTATGCTATTGCTAACATAAACAGGCGGAGTGACTTAAGCTAGGTTAGCACAACTTCAGCAATGCAACGTAAATGAAAAGCATGACCGACGCAACAAAGCACTAAGTCGTCCTGACACATGGCAAAGAGAGTTAAAGTGAACCAGGAGACATGCTGAGTCATTGTTAATGTCACAACATTATGAACTTATCTGTCAGTAGCTCCGCTCAGCCCACTCCTGTGATGCTGCCTGACTGCAACTTCCTCCTGTACTACTGAGAAGGCAGCGGTGAGGACTGACTGGAGTCAGAGCTCCATCTAGTGGACAAACGGCGCAACGGCAGCATTCTGCGCCACTGTGACACTTAACCAGCGTTTACTGCTTTATGAGAAAATAACCAGATGGTAGTCCACAACATCACCAAAATTGAATCACCTGTTCATTGTGCGATTATCAATATTTCCTGAAAATTTAATGAAAATCTGTTCACAACTTTTCGAGTTATCTTACTAACAAACAAACAAACAAACCAACAAGCAAACAGATAAACACCGGCTAAAACATAATCTCCTTGGCAGAGGTAGTAATAATAATAATAATAATAATAATAATTGTGGCTTCTTGACACATCTGTGAAGAGATGAGTGACTCAGCTGTAATAGTATGATCAGTATTACATGACGTTTGCTGGCTTTTCTGAATCGGGTTGAACTCAGGCTGTGTCTGCATGGAATAAATTTAAAATATAAGAAATAAAATTCTACATAGTGGAGGCACTTTTTTTTTCAGTATTGGTAACACTTGTGGGCACTTGGAAAACATATTCCACATATTGAGTCCAGGTTCGAATAATTAAAGAAATTCAACTTTTGTTTTTTTATGATTCATGACACTATAACTGTATCATGCTGCATAAAAGGGGCTGCAAGGTGGAGCAGTTGGTTAGCACTGTTGCCTCGCAGCAAGAACGTCACTGGTGGGGGCACTGGGATCTTTCTGCGTGGAGTTTGCATGTTCTCCCCGTGCAATGTGGGTTCTCTCCGGGTTCTCCGGCTTCCTCCTACAGTCCAAAAACATGCTCCAGCCTCCCCCCCGTGACCTTCGTGAGGATTAAGCGGTGTATAGATAATGGATGGATGGATACTGCATAAAAGACATTTGAAGTTCTCTCTACTCTGAGCCACGACGAAGCATGGTTGAGTAATAAAGCTTTGCGAAGTAGCAAAAATAGCAGCAGGGATCAGTTTAATCCAGTTTAATAAGCGGGAGCAAAGTGAAGCGAGCTAAACGATGATTTTATCAGATCTGAAATCTACATGCAAGAAAGGAAATGAAAGTGATGAGTGGGTGGAGTAAATGTCTGACTGGAGGTATATGTGTGTGTCATGTGTGTCCATTTCCTGAGTAGGAACCTGATTTAGTGCAGATTTCTGTCAACAGAGGCGCAACGATAAGACTGAATGCAACCCTGTCGTTTTGTTAAGATAAAAAACTTCAATAATAAGGTTTAAGGATTACAGAAGGCTTTCTGCTGCAATCTAGTGATGTTAGAAAAATCTGATGTGTTTCCTGAGGGCATCTGGTTTAGAGTTTCCATATGTACTTTAATGTTTTCTATTATTAAAGACAGGGCAAACCTTTAAGAATGATCGGTATGTCGCGTTGGGATTTTTCATCATTCAACCTGGACAAAAAATGACTGACTTAAAAAAAAATGTTCTGACATTTTCTCAGAAAAACACATTCAGCAAGCAGTCATGTCTATTATTTTGTAAGTAAAGCTAAAACTCATAAGATGCCTTTTGAGAGCTCAAGGTTTTCAGCCAGCAGCAGCAGCAGCAGCATTGTACAATATAATACGTAACGCTAAAGCTTTTATGGAGAGATGTGACTGTGGGTGGAAAAGTCTTACACCCTGAAACACACAATGAGGCATTCAGGTGACCCTCACAAACCCGCCACACCAACTGATGCAGTTAGGAATGCAACAGGAAACTATGCAGCTGTAATGATGGCAGTGGACGAGCAGACAAAAGATCTGCAACAACCCAGAATCCAAAAATAAGAGTTCTGATGGTGCGATTTAATCTGATGGATAAAACACCAGAGCACAAAACAAACCAGAATATATATATCAAGGCCAAAAGAAATATATAATCCGAAGGCCACTGTATGTCCTGCTGCATCGTCAGCACGTTTCCATGGTAACTACGTGTCTGGTAAAGGAAACAGGCCCCTGAATTTTGATATTTCCACACATTTAATTGTGCTTGCACATTATTTCACTTTCTCACCTCCACTTTCTTTCTTTCTCCCTCTCACACAAACATGCTTCCCTCTCCTACGTATCTCACTTCTCTGCTGTCGTTCTGTCTCTCCCACACACACACACAAAAAAAAAAACTCTCCATTCTCCCTCCGATCCACCAAAAGGTTAGTGAGTCGGCAGGTTTTAAGGCCCATTAAGCCGAGCGCTTCTCCTGTTGATCTAAAGGACACGCGGACGCACAAAGCGTGCTCGGACGGCGCGCACAAAGAAACGCAGTCGCTGAGAGGCTGACGACATCGACAGCACGCACACTCAGACCCGACACCCACACAGAGCTCCGCAATGATACACAAACTGAACGGCAGCAGGCCAACCAGACAACAACAGCTTCACAGAGGGATTAGAGAAGCTCCTGGAAGCAGAGACTTAGAGAAAGACACAGTTAGGAAGTGGCTTTAAAAAAGGAGTCATTGTGCTCCAGTAACTGCATTTATTTTCTTCTCTTCACACTGACCTTGTATCACTGCAGCCTACTTCACATTGTGGACTTTTTTTTTCATTTCAGGCAGACACTGGCTTCTATTTGCTTGTTGTTACTTCCAGTGGCA